ATATATATATATACCGGAGAAACCCTTTAACTTCTCAATGGTCATGTCGATTTTGAAAAAATTGATTTCCTCAATATAAAATTACCAATTTCACTCTTCTTGACAAGGAAAAACTACTATTGGACAAGACTAATTAAACTTTTTTTTTTTTTTTGGATAACTGATTTACACGCACCTCGACTAATCCCATGAAATTTTGAATTTTACAGTCGAGTACTCATCTCAGTGACTCTGAAGGAACTCAAACTGATGATCATTAGAAAACAAACCAAAAACCTGATCACCAATTAAACTTTTTAGGTTCAATTAAATTAATTACGTGACTTTACATTTAAATAAATTTACCATTTAATAAACTATATGTATGATATATAACGTTTTCCTTTTCTTAACAAACTATATATATAATATATGATGATTTATACCACTGCATCATCACTTTTTAGTCAACAAGCATGGACTCTAGAGAATATATAATCAAGACAATATTATTCTCTCATCCCATCACTTTCCAACAAAACTTGTATGATACTGTGAATGCATTGAAAAGTCAAAAACCCTCAAAGAAAGATCTGAACAATCCTGCCGCAAGACTCTCTACAACTCAGTAACATGGCTCACTCAGGTAGTTTCAAACGATTGAAGAGCACAAGAAAGCTTTGCTCAGGGACGACGTAAAGAAAACCCAGGTCTGCACCTTTAACAAACGGCCCCATACCCTACATATATCGTGCACAATAGCATATTAGTGAAAACATTTGAATAAGCAACTCCAATGAATATAAACAACACATCTCAAAGCTCGTCGCCATTTTAATTACCCTGCCGTTGAGTTGTAGAAGTTCACCCTCGACCCACTTTGGATTCCGGAACCCAAATTCTGCAATCCTTCCTTGACCTCTGTAGCTCGCAACCTGGACAAGAGAAATGACACTTCATGGCAAGTCACTTTTGAAATTTTAATGCAATAGCCGAAGAAATGGAAAAGGAAAAAAGAGAGTGAAATAGAAATAGATCCGGGCATAGTACTAAACGCATGATAAGACAGCAAATGTCCTTTTATTATGTTAAACGGAAGCTTCTACATGCAAATAAAACAAGATTTCTGACATGCATAGTGAAATGGATTAGATAACACTAGACGCAAGTACGCAAGTGTGGAACATGGTGTAATGCCAAATATGCTGTGTGTCAATATATAAAAGCCCATCCACCATCTTTCTGTAACTAAAACCACGTATCTCTATGGAAAATAAAGTTTTTACAGTCAGATAAAAAAATTGTTTTTACAGTTCTACGACATTTTACCATGAGAGACACATCTGAGCTTTGCCCAAGGAAAATAAAGAAGGCATCTATATTCTTGCATACAACAAGAAAGTCCACTCAAACACAATAAGAACCTAAGCTTTCCAGGGTTGTAGAGGTTGAACGATCCATAAAAAGGGTTGGAGAGGCATGGAGAAAGGAAGGAAAAAATACTGAATATTGTGGATTACAGTGTTCTACAATCATAGACTTCAAAATAATATTGAGACCCTGAATTAAAAGGGAGAAAATGGAAGGATTTGACTCACCAGCCTTAAAATTTAAAAACACACATGCATATAAAACATTCAACATGGGGAGAGGGAGAGTATATCACAGGTGCATACCACTCCTAGCTCATCTGGGTACATTCCTCGATTGGCAACACGACCACCTTTTCCAATTTTGGCACGGAATGTTACCTGAAGGTAATTATGGAACATACAATTAATATGTAATCAAATAGTTATGCACAAACACAATAAACCATAATCTAGAAACCTGGCCTGCAGGAACATTTAAATCCCCCGTCAGCTTGACTGCCTCAACATACTCAAAGAACTCCATGTCAGAAGATTTCTCTTCATTATTCATATTCCAGTTACCATATTTGCACCTCAATTGCACTACCTCAGTACCATAAGGGCCAAATGCACCAACATATAGGCCTACACTAACAAGAATAGGTTAAATGAGAAAATATGTGACATTTACTTAAAAACTCCATATACATGGAATGGGTTGGGGTTGGGGGGGGGGGGGGGNNNNGGGGGGGGGGGAGGGGGGGGGGGGGGACAGAGAGAGAGTAACTCACCATCAAAGGGATCTAAATCACCTTTGGAGGTAGTAATACGACTAAAAGTTGTGTACTCTGATACCCTATTCCGCTTCTGCGCTTGATTCACAGCAAGCTTCATTATTTCTCGCACATCTCTGGAGATCTATGATAATTGCACATCATAATTCAGTGATTTAAAGAAACATGGACAAAAAAGAGAAGAAAGTACAAAAAGCCACATGAAGAAGTATGAGCTATCTGAAACAAGATCCATCAATAAGGAACCGACCCTCATATGAAAGATGACGTTTCAGCAGAATTTAAAACTTCTGAACTTTGCCCAATTTGTAACATAATAACTGCATCTACAAATTGAGCTCGATTCTCTGATGAAGAGAAATAGACTATAAAAATCCACGAGGTCTTTGCTCAGACCAAGATCAGGATTTTAGATAAAGCAAAAGAAGAAGAAAACAAAATAAAAGGCACCATTTTAGGTTTAGGTGACAACAACTCTTAAAATGGTATCTCCCTCTATTTTTTTTTTTTTTTTTTTTTTTTGAGAAAGCAACGACGTCGTTTCTCTTACGTGTTTGATACAGTGATTTTGTTGTTTTTTCTCAATTTAGGCGGCATGGAGGATTATGTCTTAGAGTAACGAGCACAAAAGTTAGGACTTTCAAAAATATTTCCACTTTTAATTTCTATATACTTTAGCCTGTGCTGCGCATATGCTTTTTGATCCATACCTTTGAAGAAACTTTTTCAGAACTCCAGAATACCTTGGCAACATCAGGGGGCATCAGCTCAGAAACACCTTGGGCAGCCATAGCAGCCACTTTGGCCTTCGATGCTATGTTCTCGTCACTATCATGATCTTGATATCTCTTTGGGATATGCAACACAAAAGAATCCCTTTCCATATCCTTGATATTGGCTGGGACACGAACATAATCATCCTTGGTAGGAGTATCTTCTTTATTATGTAAAACCCCACCAATAAAAAGTTTCATATCCAAATCTGTTTCGTCTTCCACGGTGTCACTATCTCCTTGGATAGCAGCCCGATCTTGCTGATTGTCATCCAAATCACTAGCTTCCTCCTCAGTATTCTCACTGTCTTCTATAATCTGCTTGAAAGAATCACCATCTTCTGTTATTTCTTCAGTAACATTAACCTTCATCACCTTAACCTTCAGGTTGGGAATTTTTTCTTTGAGAAAATTTATCACACTTTTTATTCCTTCTTCAGCAGCTCCTTCCAAATCAATGCTCTTTCCCTCACCTTTTTTGGCTTCATTTTCTTCCACTTTAACATCAACTACAGATGCATTCTCGATCTCGGCTGCTGATGGCCCCTTTGAGGATTGATCAGATGATGTCGAACTTGAATTTGCAGAACTTCTGCTGCTTCTTTGCAGAAATACTACCTGCAAGGCTGTTTGATATCAGATGAAGATCGTGCATGACCATATTAAACGCGTTGAGATAGAGCACATTAACAGCTAGGGATATCCAGATTTGTCCATACTAGTTAGATAAAATATATTATTCCTTCTCACAGATATTGCCTCCATTAGTAGGTAATAAAAAGATAGGAACTAAGCTTGGTACTGTCCACGTGTTGATTAGGTTTGATTAATTTCTTAAGAAAAATAATTTGGTTATAAGAATAAGAAATTGCCAAAATTCCAAACCAAATGTGCTCTAGGTTTCTGTTTTGAGAAACAGTCTTTCAAAAAGATAAACCAAATATGTCTAGCAATATTAAAATAAACCATCAAAACAGAAAACTAAAAATGAACTCAAAACTGAAACATAAACCAAACGGCCCTAAGTCTTCAACGGAAAACGTTTACAGCTTATCCAAATAACAATTACATGTTATATGTTTCTTTTGCAGATATAATTTACGTACAATTTAAAAAAAAAAAAGAAAAGAAAAAAGAAAAAGATCTTTAACATCACCTGCATCTTATATGTCTCGTTTGCATCCTTAACCACGAATATTTCAAAAAGCAGAGTTCCAGGAGATGAAGTAACCAACTGTCTGCAATCACCACCAATTACTAGTGTCTTTAGTAGCTAACAAGTTTATGAAGATCACGAGCAGAAGATTCATAGTTTTCTGTTCAATATTCTTGTTCGTTGTTATTACCTTGGACTGTAACTTCTACCAACAAATCTGCCCACTCCTGGCGTAATTCGTATTAATCTACCAAAAGGATCAGAATCCTTCGAAAAGCCCACCCACCAACCAACCTGCATAAATGTAATGAATATTATGACATAAACACCAATGTTGTGAGAGGGAGAGGGGGAGAGAGAGAGAGAAACTAAATTAGTTGTTGAAGCATAAAGATGACACAGCAATGAACAACAACAACAGCAACGAAGAGCTTCTACATTTTTCTCACCCCTGTGATGTAGAAGCATAGAGTAACAATGCGTCAAAGTCTTTCCTCGCATGTTTTCCATTTTTTTTCTCATATGGATCCATTTACCCAGTGACATTATTAAAATATTGATGTTGGACTTACCAGTAAGGCCATATATCCACACAGTGCTGCACTTCATGGAAGTTACCATGTCTGGTAGTTCCCTTTGGAAATACAACAAATAGTATACATCTATAAATCTTAAAATCCATTTTGAAGTGGAGAGAAGCTAATTCGACGATTACTCAAATAACTAATATTTTCAAATTGCTTGCTCACAGGAATCAGAGTTCATTAAAGCATTGCTCCTACAGTTTTCAGGGCTTGTTTGAGCCCCATTTAAAAAATAAAAATAAATAAAAAAAATAAAATTTTTTGTAATAATGTTATGGTGGAGAATCTGTGTTGAAAACTAAGAAAAAAATTTAGATTCACATGTAATATTATTTTATTGAAAAATGTTTGGTTGAAATGGAATCAAATCATTGCTGAAAAATGTATTTTGACGAAAAAATGGGGCTTTAACAAGGGCGTCATATTATTGAATTGTTTTAGTTGTTTTGGGGTTATTTTACAAGTTTTCTTAAGCTATTTTTAGATGCATTAAAACCTAGTTCCAAAGGATATGAACGTCTTTCTAATTGGGGGGAGAGAGATTTTCACCACCAATGACCTACATAACAAATCGTATAGCGAGATTTAATATTTGCAACTCTAATAACTTATTTTGGTGATAATTCCATGGAGAGTTCTTTAAGATTGATGTTTATGGTTTATTATATTAATACATTTATTTTTATATAATTTTATAATTTTTTGGTTTGTGGTAAGGCTTACGCCTCAAAGCACCTCGAGGCTTATGTTTAGATATCTGGATGATATAACATTGTAATCATCAAACAACAAGAAGCTAAAATTTATTTTAAAAACCTTCAAGTCAGTTACATAAGTCATTTTCACCATTAAATATATTTACATTGGTAATTTGTTATTATAATCGCATTTATGAAGCAGAACATGCAAAAAAGATAGGTTGGTGGGGCTTGATTTGCAACATATGACGAATAGATTTTGACTCACTATGATAGAAACGGTATGCCTCAAAATTCTTTAAAACGCACCACCAGCAGCAGCATGAAGGCATGACATGGCTGGCTGCTTGGATTTTGGGAAAGGAAACCTGTGTGCCTTAGCATGGATTCTTTTCAGAAGATGTGCATTTTAATTGCAATAACACACAGAATGGTGGTACATATTGACAGAGGTTGTAAATCAGTGACTTGGTTGCAGGTGAGGCACTTCAAATTCCACAGATTGTGTAAGCAAAAGCTTTTATTGCTAAAATTGTGACTATTTACCAATAGCATTTCTTCAAGTGCGCTTATGACTAAAGTTTGAAATAAAGTCAAGAATTCAATATGGATGGTGCATATAATCTTCAACTTGCTAATCAATAATATTCTTCTTATTGGTCAACACCTCAAATCTAGTGGTCCTCAATTCATTTTGAAAAGCTCGAGAGATTCTCTTTTTAAATTTTTCTCCTTTTCTTTTTCAGCAAACGACGTGGTCGATGATAAAATTTAAATAAATAAATTTATTTTTATTTAATAAGTTATGTTTTAGATAAAGATAATTCAAAATAGTATCATATGAAAAATAATTAATACATGTGAACATGTGCGCAAGAACCACATGGACTCCAAAATTCTGAAGTCAAGTCAGAAAGTCATCTAAAATTACAAATGCTAATTTAGATTTACAATCTCCACTAGACATAGCCACATAGGAACCAACAATTTATCATTTGACAGCACTCTTTGGGAATGACTCCCTATTCCTAGTAACTGCTCGAGCCAAGCAACATTTGAATTCAACACTAATTCGCTAGATGATCTCTCTCTTCTAACAGGCTCAAAGGGTGATGGTATCATAAGCATCTTTTTTTGTCTGGTCACTGATATAAAACTTTATAGAATCCTTCTTTACGCCTCCTGCAGTTATACTGAAGTTCATCGGTCAATTTCACTTGACAGAGGTCACATATCAGTCTACCGTCTTACTTTGACCTAGCTACTAGTGGAAACAGAATGCAAAAACATCCAGGACACGTTTATCTATTAGGCTTATAGTAAAAATACCAGCTTAGACTTTTGAGATTTTGCAGTGCATGGTCATAATGAAAGTAATTTACAAGTTCTGGGAGATTCTATGATAAGTGATGCATTAATACGCTTGACAGTATCTAAATACAAATTTGAATATACTTGATAATTCAATAGTGAACTTTCTCATATATGAAAATCTTACTGATATATACAATTTTACTTTTTCAACATTCTTTTTTGCATGTCCCTTGCAATAAAAGAGAGAGAGGTACAACAAGGTGTTTCTGTGCATTACTATTGTTTCTCATCTCTAATACATTTCTGTATTGACCCTTCACACTAAAAAATTCCCAGACCAGATAGGGAATAGAATAGAAGGAAGTAACTGCTGGGAAAAAAAGGCAAGAATATGAAAACACCGATAGAAAAATGCACCCTACTCCTAGGCCAGAGGAAGAAAAAGCAAGCAATCCGACTAATTAACAGGAGAAAAACACGAAATTGCTGGCATACAAGAAAATTACCAGCCCGCTTCCTGTACTTCGGCACAATGTTGAAGCATCACTGTAACGTTCTTCGTCAATTGCGTTCTAAAGAAAACAGCAAAATATAAATAACTCAAAATTTCATATGCAGATAGCAACAACTTATATCAACCTCTATTTTACCTTCAATTGAGACATAATTTCAGCAATACTATCTTTTGATGTTGCTTCTGCAATAGCCAATTTCAACTTACCAGCTTCCTGGAAGTCTTCCTTCTCTATTGCATCTTCTAATTGAAACTGTAAATTATAGCAACATTCCAAATATCACATTAAATAAATGTGTAAAGTCAGCTGTCTAGATTTTTTCCTAATGCCAATACATCACTTCACAAACTAAAAGAACTTTTTTCTAGATCAATAACTAATGTAAGCTTACTAAACTTCTCATAGACAATTAGTGATGCAGAGTTGATGCATATTCGAGGCCCAAAAGAAATTAAATTAGTTAGAATTTTCTTTATTTCAAATTTATGTAATTTTTGGTTTATTTTCCTTATAGTCTTTATTACCTTAGGCTAGTTTAAGACCTATATAAATATGGTAATGTTTTGTATTAAGCGCCATGTTATTGAATAAAATTACAAGCTTCCCTCTAAATCAAACAATTTCTCTCCCTCCCTCTCTTGCTTCTCTTCATTTGCGTTTATAAATGTTTTGACTCTCTCTACTTCAATTACTAAAGTGGTTTTCATATTTAGCACTTACTTAAAAGATTTCAATTGATTAACATTAGGAAGGGAAGAAATTGACCAGATATACATGTAAACTATAATTATTTTATTAAAACAACAGGGAAAGGGAAAACAAATTCTGTTGTATGATGGAGCAAAAAGAAATGAAGGGTGGGATTTATTACTCTATACTTGAACACGGTGGTCAAAAGATTCTGAAAAATGATTGAATTACAAAAATTTGGGCAATGTGAATTGCCACCCACATGTTACGCATGTTAGCAAAGTGTCAACTGTAGTATTGAAAGGTTCACACCCAAACATAGTGTAAAGAGATGCATGTTGCTCATACACCAAAATTCTTCTGTTTTTTCCCTCTTTACTTCTTTTACCCTTCCGTCCTTGTTACTATTTCTTTAGAGACTCCAAAAGAGTGTAAAGAGATGCATCATGTATGTTTCTCTGGTAGCAAAGTCCAATTAACAAATTTTAACTTCTTTTTTCTTTAATCTTGATGAGGGCAGACCAATTCAGGATACCAAATACGCCATCAGAGTATTACCTTAAGTTTCATGTGTTTATTATAGTTCGGTAATCCTTATGTGAATGAGAAATAAGTACTTGGTAAACCTAAAATTCTATAAGCACTTCAACTTTTTGCATCATAGAGCTTTTAAATTTGGAAGATAGGCTACATTTGAAAACGAGAGAGAGAGAGTTGAACACGTGTTACACTTTGTGTGACTTAAGTTTTTTGGCGTTAGCCATCAATATTCCAGAAACTCGATATTTTCCTTTTTCTTTGAAATAACTTACCAATTTCACACTTCAAATCAAAATTTAGCACACTAAGAAATGCCTGATTGAAACATTGTTACACTGATAATATTGTCCAAAACAAGGAAATTGCATGGTGCAAAATAAATACACTGGAGCAAGCATATTGGACTAAAAGAAATTCATGACTAGCACAAGAAGCCAAACAATGGCCACAAAACCAATAATTATACTAATATATTAAGCACAAGAACCTATATACTGAAATTTTCCACTCGCATCAGAAATCATACAAAATATGTATAATACGCATTTAAAAAATTTTAAAAACTGAGCCACATGCTGCATAATTCAGACGATATATTAATGTACATTGTCTTTTAAACAATATTAGCATTTAGCATCATACACAATTTTTTGTAACGCCAATGTCCTAAAATCAAGATTGAGTTCGATTCTACTTTAAAAATCTTAAATATGTAGCCTACATACAGATATGGAATCGAAGCTAGAAATCCATTACATCAAAACTGGGGACAGTTTTCATAAGTATCTTCGTAACTTTACGAGTGCATATAAATTAAGTAGACTCTCTACAAAAGCCCAGGCAAACAATCATAGCTCAGAACAATTTTATAATAAACGTATTCATTTATAGAGCGTCAACATTCAACAATCACGCTCAACATATCAAATACTCATTTCTCAAAATTCAAGAGTGAGAACAATTATAACCAAAAAAAAAAAGTAATAATAAAAAAAAAACCTCAATCATGGCTACGCCCAATGAAAAGTCCCTATAAATTGTTTTATGTAGATATTTTTAGAATCTGTGTGGATCCATCATAAAAGCTCAATAATATGATAATTTCAAGATAGTATCACTATCCATAGCCAATACAAAATTTTGAAAAGTTTTAGTGTAAAATACCTCTCTTAAATTAAATTCTCAATTCCGCACATTGAAGTAAAATATTGGTATAGAGTATATAATACATTTATACAAATTTTCAAATACTCCAACACCTGTCTATCCTATACTTCAAAGTTGAAGCCCCCCGGGGCACATCCAAGTTGGCAAAGGAAGGGCAGTGCGGGGCTCGCAACCCCAGCGTGGGGAGTTCGATTCCTGATTGGAGTAGCCGAGTGTTTGTAATAACCATCTTGGTTGGAGCAGTTTGGTGATGTAATAACCATGGAGGAGGGTCTCTTGGGGCCAGGAGTATAAAGGCTGTTCGAACCCTGGTCAACTTGGGCATATACCGCGATTTACCTCCACCAGTCACTGAGGGGCTGGGGGTTGGGGGTCCAGGATATAGTCTGGCGAAACTGGGAAACCTGGGTATCAAAAAAAAACCCTAATTATTCCCATTTTCATTCCCCCCCCCATGCCACCCCGATTCTCTCTCTCACGTCTCTCTCTCAACTGCCCAGCGACAGATGATGGAGGAGTTGCATCGTTGCGACGTCACTGACCATGCTGCTACGAACGTCCCCATTACAACGTTGACGTACTGACGGCGAGGGTGAGTAGATCGCGATGGAGGTGAATATGTGGATCTTCAGTGTGCGTGCAGGGTGGTTCGACGAACTGGTGTGCGTGTGCAGCGGTGCGAATTGGTGTGCGTGTGGTTTACGTGCGGCAGTGGTTAGACGAACTGGTGTGCTTGTAGATCTATAGTGGTTGTGGAATGGTTTGGGGTGGGGTGGGGTGGGGTGGGGTGGGGTGGCTGTGGTGGCGAAAGAGGAGGTATTGCTGGCTGTTGGGTGGATGTCGTGGTTGTGGAATGTTTTGGGCGTGGTGCTGGCTACGTTGGCAGTGCTGAAATTTGTAACCGTGACCGTGACTCCCAATTGTGACTCGCAATTGGATAGGTGATCTAAAAAATTGTGATCGAATAATTAATCGTGACAAATAAATTCACTAATATTTGGATGTGTGACCTGAAACTTGTTATCGTGACTCACAATTGATGAAGTTGTGATCGAAAAATTAATCATGACCAATATATCCAATAATTTGCAATAAAAATAATTTGTGACCTAAAAAATTTTGGATTCTGTGATCGATGAATAATCCGTGACCTATAAAATTTTGAATTCGTGACCGATGAATAATCCGTGACCTATAAAATTTTTGGATTCGTGACCAAAAATATTTCTGTGACCTATAATTTTTTTTATTTGTGATCGAAAAATAAGTTGTGACCAAAAAAATTGATAACTTGTGACTAAAATTTAATTTGTGACTAATTAATGAGATAATTATGACTAAAAACTCTGACATTAATATATTTAATTAATAAAATATATATTTAATAAATTAATTTCTAAATAAATTCTAAAAATCTGATTTTCGAAACTTTAAACCTTTGTTCTTAATTTTGAAGAGGGGTGTACTTACCTTCTTAGAAATAATTTTTTCCCAATTTTAACTCCCACGAAAGTAATGCTATTTACCGTGATAGATTATTGTAATTAGGAAAATTCTACTTGCACGTAATGGTGTTTATAATGTTATATAACAATCATCCGATTGTTGATATACAAGTGTGATATTTGAATTAAATGTTAAATCTAATGTCACGTATAATTATGGACACCATTATGTAGACAATTATGTACATGTAACAGTTCCCAATTAATTATGCTATGTGAGCATTTAAGTGATTAAATTTATGTCACATAGGATGATTGTAATCAAACTATTTAGTCGAAATAACTTTTTATTCATTTGGGAATTACTTGTGTTATCTATTTATATATAAAAAGTGACCTGAACTTTTATAAAAAGCATTTGGAAACGAGTAAAAATAATTTCTTTTTTTTTATGAAAGAAATTGACAAAGTTTAAAGTTTGTTTGGAAGTATTTATAATTGGTTTAAATTAAAAATAAATTGATATGAATGACAGATATTTAAATAGTACTTATGAATCTCTTCAAACATATTGATAAACAACCAAACATGACATAAGCTTAATCATAAGTAGATACACAAGCTTATTTAAAAATTATTTTTTTTCAAACTTGTTTTTAATCACATATATTTTTTTAATAAAATAAGTTTATATATGAATCCATAACTTTTTCAAACTTTTCAATCACAAGAGAATTCACCCCAAATAATTCCTTCCAAACAGATAATAGTTGGAATCACATTTTGCCAGTTGGAAATTGTTATGTGTATACAATGGTGTACACACAACAATACACCCGTGAGCCCCTTCTATGGGAGAGGGATGTAATACATTATGTCATGTGTCTTGACATCATTGGACAGTTTTCAAACACAACACACATTCTCACTCATTTCAATTTGAAAATCAATGAAATGTCGAGCATGATGCAAGGAAAAATACAAATGTGTTACCTGCACAGACCCTTTTGCACAGGGTCTGTACATGTACACACACATAGGGTGGACCCCACACATGGGGTCCACATGTGGGATCCATCCTCATGTGAGAGCTCCTGTACAAGCCCTGTGGAAAGGGGCCTGTGCAAGGAACATTATTCGGAAAAATAATGTACAGATGGCTTTATCCAAAAAATAAAAGACACGAAAAGGATCTTTAATAGCTCTCGCCTCCTCCCTTTAACAGTTAACACACACCTCTGTAACGATTTATAATTTACCAATTTATGCGGAGAAAGTTATGGAATCAAAACCCTCAAGTTTAATCGATCAGCAAGTTGTAAGTCCGTTAGTTTTCTTTCTTTCGTTTATATTAAATGAATAATTGTATATATACAGATACTTTGACACGATTCGTCCCGAATCACCCTAGTGGACCCGAAACATGACGTTTGCCGATGATAGATGCTAACTAGATGTCAAATTTATCACCAAAGCTGACTATGAGTTATTTAAAAAAGCAACAAAATCGAATGTTTATGTAAAATATAATGCGATGGGCCCAAATTATTTATTTCGTGCTTCATCAATATAAGTTATAATATTCAACATGTCGAGTGACTCTTATTCCGAAATCATTAGGCTATTCCAGCTAAAAATGATCAATTTCCACCTGTAGAAAAAATCGTGGGAAAATATATGAGTTGATAGTTTAGTGAGTGGAGAAGTTTGAAAATAATTATACCTTTTCACTTTTACATTTCCATCGAAAATGGAGTTCATATCATTTAATAATTCACAAGATAATATCATGTAATTATAACCAAAAGTGAAATTTTCACATAAGGTCGTAAAATATCATCTTAAAATTATAATATGAATATTAGCTGATAACCATGCTATAATTTCATCACATCAAATGTGTTGAAAAATCCACAAAAAAATGTACGCTCTGACTGAAATATGTAATCCGCCCCTCGGATTAAGAACTTTCGCCACCGGCCTTTGGCCCCCTCCATGAAAGAAAGTCGATCTCAAAGACCTCTCATAATCAATTCTAGAACAAGGCCAATGCACATCTGTGAACTAGAAGAAATATATAATCATGAGTACTTTTCTGATCGATCTCAATATTACACGTGTTTCACATACCAAGTCATAAATGTGCCACAAATAATCTTTTAATTTCTACATATATCATAATAAAAGAGATTTCCATAATAATTATATAGTCGAACACATAATTATATATAATTACACATACTTTGACAATATACTTAATTATAAATACTTTAAAAATATTTGTATTTTTCCACTCACAGTAGTACTATGTTCGCAAAATCAACCCAGTAAGTTGTTCTGATATTCATATCGCCGCCCGGAATATGATATAGTTTTTAAATCAACAATTAATTATTTTAAATAATTTCAATAATTAAATAAGCGATACTCAAACTTAATTACTTCACGTTTAAGCGATTTCCACAGTCTCTTTAATCACTAAATTTTTTTTTTTCATTTACTCAATTTCATAGTTTATTATACTTAACCCCTTCAATAAAATTGAATTTAGTCTAACAATCTAAGAACTATAAAATCAAACATAACTTAACAATAAGTAACTTTTTACTTACCTTTCAAAATTGAGGAATTCAAACTTAATGGTGTAGACCACTTATTTTTTGGCAACATAGACGAACTGTCCTATTTTTTTTTTCCTTTCTTTCCTTTTTTTTTTTGTAACTCTTTTTCTTTTTCTCTCTTCTCTTTATTTCCTCTCAGCACGTTTTCTTTTATTCAATGTGTGTTTGTGTGTGTTTTAATGTGGAAAATGAGTTTGGTTAATATATATATATATATATGGGAATGAATTTGGATGACTTTGGTGAATGTCCACTGCCTGCTAATTTATTTTTTAATTGTCTTTTTTTGGTGACATCTTTGACTTTTCTTTTTTCCTTTCATCTTTTTGTTTCTTTTTGTATTTTTTTTTTAAATTAAGGTATTACAAAACTCATCCCTCTTAAAAGAATTTCGTCCTCGAAATTCAATTGATTAAGTACGATAAAGCTGCGAATTTTGAGAATACATCTGCTCTTCACTTTCTTATGTCGCTTCTTCTATAACGTGATTCCTCAATAAGATTTTAACAAAAAAAAATAGTTTTACTTCGCAAAACCTGTTTCTTTCTGTCCAATATATGAACATGTTCTTCCTCATATGTAAGATTTTCTTTCTTTTTCAACTCTACTGATAATCTTATAGCATAAATTAAATCAGACATCTATTTACTATTTACTAATCCTCGAACATATGGAATACATGTTGAATCGATACCTTAAATATCATCCTAATGATCAATATATTTTTAGCTTTTCATTTTATCATCTAACAACAATATATACACAGCTTCAAGTTCGGCTCTTTTTCGACTACAAATATATCTTAACCTCAATTATCATCACTTGTGTCTAGTTTTTATATATCAATTCCATTAAAAATAAATAATTATCCAAGTCTCCTTTAATTAACCAACCATAATTGATAACCTTTCTTTTGAACTTGTCTTCATAGCGTCTGACATTCTATCAAAAGAAGATGCACAGTGTGATTTAATTATATAACTTCTTATAGCTAACCAAAGATAAATACTCCAATTCCACCATGTAGTTGAAAATATTGTCTAAATATAATTTTATAAGTCTATCCTATAAACTGACTATATCATTTAAAAAGAATTTTGTAACCTTTATCAATCTATCCAAAATGATTTTAATACTATTTTGTCTCCATTCCGTGTATTTGGAATCCCCAAACAAAATATTTGATGGTAACTACCTCCATTCAAAATTGACAATATCTTCAAAAATTCAATTGTTCATGATTTTCTAAAATTCTAGTTATCTCCAACAAAACAATTGAGACAGCTCAATATGGTGTTCTTTTCCTTTAATTCTATATCGCCCAATGATAATATATACACAATTTCCATTTCCACAATTTCGAATAAAATATACATTAAAACTCTGATAATTGATAAGAGTTGATATTTCTCGCAATGTGATGCCATAATCCCAATATAACCAATTCCAAATCATGTTTTAATCATGCCTCTTCAACAATCTATTATATAATTCATAAT